CAAGGTTATTCCCTGCCTGCTTCCGATGGAGCTGATCAGCGGTGCGCGAGTGATTCCGAAACCTACCCACAGTGTGGCAACTCAGAAGTCCGACTTCGACTCTCGCTTCCCATCCACTTCCACTTCCTCTCATCTTCAATACAAACCCCATCTTACCTCGTCAGTGGGAGTTCAGTCAAGCATGCCCGTTCCTGCCACTCGACTCTACTCCCTTCCCCCTACTTCACTTCGAGCCCAGCTGGACGCTGAACGAAAACCACTCTACAGAGACTTCCGCGCGGGAGCCAAGAGTGTCGAGACCCAAACGGAGCAGCCATTCACTTCTGTCGACTATGAAACTAGTATTCCGAAGACGTCAACTTCCACAGAACAACCATCCCAACGTCGCGGACGAACAAATGCGAATGTGCAAACAAACGATCTGCTAGAAGCAACCAAGAAGTACTTTGAGGACTACGATCGTCAACTGAACGAGCTCACCGAGAAAGCAAAACGAGCACATCGACGGCAATTCGAATTCCACGATGACGATCCGCTCAGCCGCGAGACGAGGCGATTACAGCTGATGGACGAGTTAGCGCGCAGACGCGAGAGGATGTTCGCCAATATTGAGCTACCGTCGGAGACGATGCCCTACAGAGCATACCATTCGCAATTTGCGCTAGATTCTTCTGATTATTCATCGCTAGTGCCTCACTATGGATCTCTTCCTCGAATCGACTATCCTTCCCGAAGTAGAAGAGAACCGCTTTCCCGGGATTTCACTGTGCGAGAGCCGTCCACTTCCTATGCCTATAACTATGGCTCATTGCCGAGGAACTATGAACGATGCTTGGGACATACCTACCCGATCCATGTCGACTATGAACAATCGTTCGGAGCTCGACCCACTGCCGCTGCTGCGTCCAGGTCCATGCTCGATCTGCACTCCGACAACATCATCGACCCCCGCTATCGACATCCTACTGATATTCGCTCTAGTTACCTGGACCAAATGGGTATAGACCGAGCCGATCCTCTCGCCTACACCTCACCCTACCGCTCTTACCCGAGCGACACCACAAATGTGAACATTGCTCAACCTCTTGGACCACAACAAGAAGACATGGTCTCGCGGTACGCCAGCTACTTGAACAGCCAATTCCAAAGCGGTTTGCTGAGCCAAGCGGATC